GGGTAGATGAGTCTGAAGATGGCTTTTCTAAATGGTTTTCACTGCGAGGGAAATTGCCGTTGTGTGCTCTTAACCACCTCAAATTTGATCACCAGACGAGCATTTCCATTCGTACGTTTAAACGCGAGGGCACTGTAGACCTACTGATGATTTATTATCGCGCTAACATTTGTTTCTGCGACCTTGAAAATATATTCGCCTTACGTGACGCATTTGTTTCGGTTCGTGAGTGGGGGCAGATTACTGAACAGATATAAGGAAGATATATAATTTAAGTCTCTTTCAGACTGAAAGATCTTAGTTTTTAACGTTTTAAATTTATAGATCGTGTATTATGCAAAGACGTTATAATAATTGTAGCGGTTGCTTTGTATTTTATCGAATTATCTTACTTGGTGGCCGTCATGAAATTAAGATGAATCCCGAGAGTCACACCTTACATCGAGTCTACTTAATTAGTCTGCGCAGCTGTTGTGCGCATTAGAACATAGCTTTTTCCTTTTTAATACATGAAAAACGTTTAAGTACATAAATATTTTGTCCTGGAAGGAACAGGTTGCTCCCATGAACCGCTGGCCGTTCGTGAAAGGGTCGTGACTTATTCTTCCTGCTTCGTACTCGGGAGGTCCCGGTTTCAGATCTTGGCCCGGAGACTGGATGTTCTGACAGAGGTTCATCGTGATTTTTCTTAGTTTCTGAGGGAAAATACCGAGAGAACCTCAAATTTAACCACGACCGCTTCGATGACTTTTCCAGTTCATTATTCGTAAATCATGAGTCGCTTTATAAAAATTTTACCCACATTGCGTCACTAATTAAATTTGAGGATTTGGGTGTTGTGTCCAGCGAGTATGTGTGGAGTGACATACACTCATTTACTGTTTCAAGAGAAGCATTTTGCAATACATCTGGTCCCCAGTTCGACACTGCTGGACTAGATATCGTGAGTTCATTCGAAAACATTTTCGATATAGCTCTTTTACAGCTCATTGTAGATGAAACCAACAGATATGCTCAGCAAGAAATTTCTAAAAGTGCCCATCCCCTCACATTTCGCTCTAGGATTAGGAACTGGCAAGATGTCACAGTAGACGAAATTTACTTGGTTTTGGCTGTATTTATGGCGATGGGCATTGTACAAAAGCCTACTATTACTATGCTAAGAGCCGGCTGCTGTCCACTCCCTTTTTTCTTGAAACTTTACCTCTGGAAAGACTAGAGCTAATTACCAAATTTATGCATTTTGCAGATAATAGTAAGGAAAATGAATATCAAGGACCTCCTAAACTTTTCAAAATTTATCCAGTCATTCAGCACCTAAATAACAAGTTTCAAAATTTGTATCTTCCATCCCAGAACATTTCGATAGACGAGTCCTTGACTCTATGGAAAGGTCGTTTGTCCTTCAGACAATTCATACCCCTCAAGGCTGCAAAATTTGGAATCAAAACGTTTGAACTATGCGAGTCTAGCTCTGGCTATGTGTGGTCTTTTCTCGTGTATACTGGAAAAGACATGGAACTGACGAATCAGTTTGTGACTGCAGAAACAGATTTTGCTACTACCACCAAGATCTGCACCGGCGGCGGCTCCAGGCGGGCTCGCGCCCTGACCCTTCCGCGCACACCGCCGCGCCCTCCTACTCGCCGGGGCTTCAGCTTAACGCCTTCATAAAGTCAAAAAAAAAACAGACTGTGTTGGAACTTTACGTGCCAACAGGAAGAATGTCCCTCCTTCAGTGAAGAATATGAAATTGAAGAAAGGAGATCACTGTGGTCTACACTCTGGCGATGTGGCAGTTCTCGCGTGGCAAGACAAGAAGCGAGTCACAATGATATCAACTTATCACAAGGATGATATGCGTGTGACTCAAAACAAAGCCAACCGAGTACAGATCAAGCCTGTTGTTGTTCGTGACTGCAACAAGGAGATGCTGGGAGTTGATCTGAAAGATCAGATGCTCCAGCCGTACTTGCTGGAACGAAAACGAGGAACAAAGTGGTACATGACATTGTTCAAAAGATTACTGAATGTATCAATACATAACGCAATGGTCATGTATCGGTCTGTTCCAAGTAACAGGAAAATAGACACTCTGAAATTCAGGATTCTTCTCGCCCAAGGTCTCGTAGAGAAACACGGTCCTGCTGTTCCGCGCCCTGTATCCGGCCGTCCATCACTTCAGCCCCCACCTAAGAGACTCTCAGAACATTTCCCGGAACGTATTCCATCCACTGGAAAGAAGGCTAGACCTCAAAGAAAGTGTGTGGTTTGTACGAAACACGGGATGAGGAAAGACTCAAAATATTGGTGTAGTGAATGTGGGGCAGGGTTGTGTATAGATGGATGTTTCAAGAACTATCACACGAAACTGAACTTCTAATCCACCTGCTTCCATTCCTCACACAGAGGGTGCTCATCTTATAAGGTAAGATTATAAAACCATCTTTTAAAAGGATTTCAGTGAAATTTCATTGTTATGTCTCATATAGTTTAAACGTTATGATAAAAAAAAGTGTTTTAGAGCAAAATTTAAATGGACATCGAAAAGAAAACTACCGCTGTACGAGCTCGACTGCGGTATTTAAAAACCCCCAGCTGACGGGTTAACCAGTGCTGACCTTGGGTTGATGCGTTGAACAACGTAAAAACGTGTTTGTGGACTCCGGTTAAAGAACCAGTACCTGCTATGTTAATCACCTACGCTTGCCGTGGTTATTCAACTTTCTTACAGAATCTTAAATTGACGGCGATGAATTCGAATGGCCAAGGTTATTAAAATGAAAAGCAATTTGAATATCCAGGTAAAATGTAACAAGATACAGTGTCTACTGACAATGTTATAATTTTAGATAATTTTAAACAACATTATTTTAAGTTTGTGTATAGACGGAAAATAAAAATATTGTATCCAGGTGTTCGTTGGTGGCCTAGGTCAGTCCGGTACGTTGCCACTGCGGTCTTGAAGAGGAAAATCAGGGGTTTTATTTGTTGGTATATATGACCGTGTGTGGTATCAGCTTTGTAACCGTCCTTTCACATCAAACTCTCCATCAGGACGCCCGGCTGGTTACAAGGGGTTTCGTCTTGGTAGCTCAGGGCATGGACTCTCGCCTTCAGGGAATATACGTGGTGGCTATGAAGGGTTCCAGAAGCAAGGCGCGAGGCGGTGGGATACGAGGGGATGTAGTCCGATAATTCTGTATTAGTTCACTTTTATTCTTTCCTTATCTCCTCGCCGAATGCAGGGCGGTCGAGACTGCTACGTAAGTGAGTTTTTGGAAGTCCCTTGCTGGACGCACACCGCGTTCAGCAAGACTCCCCTAAGACTTTTGAATCTGAAGAGAGTGTTCTCATTGGCTGAGTGGTTCATCACCCTAACCTTACAAATTCGCCGCCGATAGCTTAATTTAAACCCATTGGTGGTTAGTGACGTGATTTATCCTAAGTCTTCTAACGGCTAAAACACACCTGGAAGAGCTTACTCATCCCACCAAGTCGAGCCACCGATCAAAAAATCACCCGTTCTATAGTCACGTAGCTGGCGCCAGGCAGTCGCCCGGTGGAACAAACAAGTCTCCCAAGATGGGGCCCGAACTAGAGATACTAACCATAAAATCGGGAAAATTCAATACAATTTGATTATAAATTCCGATTAAGGAAGGCGCTTCCGAAACAAAACTAACTTAGGCCCCTTTCCTTGCGTATAAACTGGAGTAATCGCCAAAAGTCCAGTCTAAGTCTATCTCAGGTCCGCCTGCTCGAGAATCGAACTCAGAGTGAGCTGTCACATCTTGAACCGTTTTATGGTTGAAGACTACGTAGAGAGAGAGAAACCTTTTGACAAATAACGTAGTGTATGGTTGGCGTAAGTGATGTTTCAACCAAAACTGAAAAAACTGTACGTTCTTGGAGCTTCAGATACCAGTGTTTCGGAGAAACACAAAGTGTAAATCTTCAAGGCGTTGGTTTCCACGTGCATTTCCAAACGGTGTTGCAACCCACGAGATAAACTTCGATATCTTCACCGCCTTGAGAACATGAAATCTCAAATAGGATTTTAATTTTAACTCAGCCTGTATATTTTTTCAGCTTCTCAGGTATGGTAGTTAATATATGAAAGCAGGTGGACAGTGCAGTGCGTATCACCAGTTTTGGTGAATAATTTTGCGTGGATAAAGTATGCACACCTGCCACGGTGGTCTAGCGGTTAGAACGCTGGCCTTGTAATCCTGGGGGTCTCGGGTTCGATTCCCGGCGGTGCCCGAATTTATAACTTGTGTTGGGCAAAGCCGTGGTCTAGGCAACATGGAGTTTTCCTCCGTGGCATCCCAACAATTACTCCATTCACACACAGAAGAAGGCAATGGCAAACCACTTCTGGATCATCTGCCAAGAACGTATATGAACAGGTCCCAGTCCGAGAAAAGGATGGAAGGATCCTGTTCATATGGACCTGTCGTCACACAGAACACTAAAAAAAAAAAATAAAAGTATGCACGGATGTGTCAGTGGGTAATTTCTATGATGCCACTAAAATGGGCATGGTCAGAACAGCAACTCCTTAACATACTGTGACATAGTGTGGGCTTAATTTGAAAGGGACATACTGCTTCCATTTTCAAAGATGAAAATATAGGCGGTATGTTCCTCTCGATGGAGTTACAACCCAGAAGGTCAATATATAAGCGCATGGGGACATTTGTCACGATATCTGGACTCAGTAGACAAACCTGGGATTGGTGGGAGAACCAAAAATTGCGCGTGGAATTTTTGTTGGGAAACTTTATGGAACAAGACCACGTTGAAGATCTAGAAGGAACAAACGTTGAGGTTAAGTTCTGCAAACAAATTCATCTGGATAAATGCGTTATTTGAATATGTTTAAGGAATTAATTGTCTCAGAACAGCGCTGGAAGTTGGAAGTGAGGTTTTATGTTGAGTTACGAGATGATTAATAGAAGACATAACTGATGCAAATACTCTGGATGTTGGTATGCTCATGAGAGAAGGAAAGAAATTTCCCGGGAAAAATCTTTGGGACTTATAACATAAGGAATGTAAGTATTGGTTGGGGAAGAACTGAGATTTACGGGACAGTGCGTTTGCGGCTGGACCAGCTATGAGTTCATTCGGACTCGTAGCAGATGGTCCACTGCGCATGTGAGGGTTCTCACATGTGCAAAACATGCATGGAGGGACAGTGTAGTACTGATCCCACGAGAAGAACGTGCTACAGTGTTTCAAGTGGCTGGCGTCTACGGTGGCCACAGCTGGCATGCGGAATGCGAAATTCACGTGAACAGAGCAAAGTAATTACATTTTACTAAGTTCTCTCGAGTCAAAGGGTTGAAAGTTGTGTCGTTGGTGCTTAATTAAATAAATTAACAGAAATTAACCACGTGTATGTTTGATAAACAAGTTAAATTATGAGATGATAATGTTGCGTCATATTGTGTTGAAATATATACTTGTTCAATTTTATCAGTCTAAACACAATAAATTAAATATTAAAATATTATTACAATCAACATTTAAATATTAAAATATATTAAAATAATGCTCTTTATCGAAATGTTCGATTTGATCGATTTGATCGAACATTTCGATAAAGAGCATTATTTTAATATATTTTAATATTTAAATGTTGATTGTAATAATATTTTAATATTTAATTTATTGTGTTTAGACTGATAAAATTGAACAAGTATAAGTTAAATTATGCTAAAATTAGAATAAAATATTTGTGTATGCATGTTAATTTTTAAATCATCTGTTCTGTGAGGGTCGACAGGATTTTAGGAAGTTGGTGATTTTTCTAACGTCACTTCTTGTGCATTATTAAATTACTATAAGGCTGCCACGCAAAATTTAAAATCTGTTTTAGTTTGTTTCATTACGATAAGCAGTTAATCGTTGCCTTATATTGTCTGTTAAAATTTTTTTTAATTTCGTTTGCATTAACCACTCAGTTATGTGTTTTACTGCAGAATTATATGATGATGAAACTATATATACACATATACATTTTTCAAAATGGCGAATGGTTACTGAAACGCAAAGAAAGATAATTCCTATGATACAGCGTGACGATGCTGCCATAATTAGGATTCTTCGTGTGTGATAATTTGAATTTCAAAACCATTCATTTACGTAGACGCCACAAATAACTCATTCCGAAAACACGCTCAATTCCACAGGACTGTTTTTACATTAAAGCTGGCGTTAAAGGTCACGATGACCTTACGAGATTTTGAGGTTATTAATGACATTCGTTTGTTCTTCTAAACCTGCTGTGAAGGAAAGAAATTTCGCAATCCTCAGTTACATTATTTCCGTTCTCCTTCGTCTACTTTGTAGGAGATAATATTTTGTATATAATGCATAAAGCGATCTGTATTTGTTACTATTCTAGTGCAAGGTAACCAAATTTGGTATTTATTGGACTTTTTAACCGGGCAGTTGTGGCGGTAAACAATAGAACAGATTTTGATGATGAATTTAATGACAGCTAAGATTTTGTTAGTGTTTGTTTCCCGCACTAATAAGAAGGCGGCGATAAACGTGGATGTTTTATTTTTTATTTTTTTATTTGTAGTGTTCTGTCTGACGACAGGTCCATATGAACAGGATCCTTCCATCCTTTTCTCGGACTGGGACCTGTTCATATACGTTCTTGGCAGATGATCCAGAAGTGGTTTGCCATTGCCTTCTTCTGTGTGTGAATGGAGTAATTGTTGGGATGCCTCGGAGGAAAACTCCGTGTTGCCTAGACCACGGCCTTGCCCAACACAAGTTATAAATTTGAGCACCACCGGGAATTGAACCTGGGACCCCAGGCTTACAAGGCTAGTGTTCTGACCGCTAGACCACCGTGGCACGTGGATGTTACCTAGTTTAAGATGGCGAATGCATAAATAATGTATTCATTTTATGTATTTGTATTTACAGGGGTAAAACTGATTTTATAACGTCTGGACTAGACATGGAGAACTGTTTGAACACGAAGTTTCATGCCTTCGAGGAGCCTACGGACATACCCCAGAGGATGGTTGTTTCGCTCATGAATGTCCGGACTATTGATGTGGAATTTAGCGACATCACGTTAAACGTTCCTGATGGCGTCTTTAGTAGACGTGAGTCTTGTTTTTTTCATTAATCTTGTATATACTTGCTTACAGACATGGCGTAATATACAATTAACACTTTTGTCTGTTGTGACGTCATTGAAAGGTTATTTTTGCGGTGTTGGTATTACTGAATAAAAAATAAATCCGCCCAGCGTGGAACGGGGCAACACTTATTTATATGCGCGTTCTATTCCTGTTTACTAAATATGTTGGTAGCATTCCTTGGGTGGGGGATCGGTGGAACATACCTCTC